GGATCCAAATTTCGACTCGACTACACTGAAAAAAATATTAAAAAATTAACAAATATTTATTAAGTGGATACCATTAGCATATTTACTTAAATCAAAATTCTCTTCATTTAAACCGAGCAAACAATTTAAAGGAAAAGAATTTTGAATGAATATTTGTTAAGGATATTTTTTTCTCAGCGTAGGTTAAACAGAATCAGAAGAGGTCGATGTAGGTCTCAGAGCATGAAAATATGGTGTTGAGTGGAATAGTGGAGGCTGAAAGTAGGATTGAAATTTCGACTCGAGCGATCCTCGACCTCTTGGACAAACCAATAAATGCCTACGCAAATAAAATAAGAAGCGGGATATCGCATGGACTCCTCTGAGAAATCGGACACCCCCGTTGAGGGTGACTCTCGCGCGAGGATGCGTCCCAGTTGCGAGGTTCCTTGCGCCCGGCTATTTCGACGTCGAGCGTCCATTCGTAATGTAAGCCGGGATTATGATTCCAAATCGATCAAAGAACGTCGTGAAAATTTCATTCGCGGCCTCTCGCAAATAGCAGCGTGGCTTTGTGATACATTAACATTCAGGTAAATGTACGCTGTTCAATTAATTACTCCGCCAGATCGGCTCGCGCGATATGCGCTGGATATGCGCGGAGAGAGTTTCCTATAAACCGAAATATAAATGTCAGGGACAAAGGAAACAACGCGCGCGCGTGCAATAACGATATGCAAAACGGCGGGTTCCGGCGCATAGCTTATCACGAGCGAGCGAACGAACGAAGTGTCGGCGATCCGTATCGGCGATTACGGCTACGCGTAAATCGCCGATCGGCGCGCGATTTCCGCAAAGCCACGTGACACGCGCGGACAGGACGCGCAGTCGAAAGTCGCCTGTCGAACGCGACAGGGCGTTGGCATTTTTCTCACTTCCCCTCTCCTCTCCTTTCCTCTCTGGTTTTTCCTTCCGTTTTTTATCTCCCTCCCTTTTTGCCGGTGCTCGCGTATCGCGCGACCGCTCGTTTCCCAGTCCGTTATTAGTAACGTTAGTCGGGAAACGAGACGTTAATTAGGAAACGGTCGTGGGCTGCAACGGGAAAGAAAAACGTCCGGGGGAGTACGAATTCAAAGACCATCTGCACCCCTTTAATTTCACCGCCGGACGTGAAAAGCGCGTACCTTTAATTAAGTAATTTCGCAACGTCCAATGTTAATACTTATATCATTTAGAATGGCGGCGGCGGGGAACGCGCGGGACGGTCGAATGTAAGGAAGAAGGAGGATAAAGCAAAAGAAAAAGAAATGATGAACGGGAGAAGAAAAAGAATTGACGAAATCGATGAATAAAATATCAGGCCGATCAGAAAATTCGTGCATAAGCGTCTCTCTCTCCTTCTCTCTCTCTCTCACTCTGCTGCATCGATGCTTGCACGCCGATAACACGAAAAAGAAAACGAACTTGCCGCGATTAACCTAATAAAAGCTCTCCCGGGCAGAGCCCGGGGAGGTATTATAATATCCGCCAATTGCCGCTTCCACTTGAATAATTGATTCGCATAGAAAATCGTGCACTCACGCTCGTTGATCGTCGCGCGTGCACGGCTGAGGCAATTCAACGTCAATTTTGAATAAAACATCAGTAATTATTCGCGCAATGGAGAGTCTCCGCGTTATTCAGTATTCCCTTGTATCCTATATTTCTACGGAGGATACATTTTACGCAATGCATTCATTGCCCCGCTTCCGACTCTCCTCCTCCTCTCACTTCCCCGTGGCCGCCAACTCCCTTCTCGCATATCGGCGCGTTATTTATTATTCATCTTTTTTATGTCTATACGCTATGCAAATAGAGTAGCGCGCACGTTTCTGGCCCATCACGTGTGAAAGGACACATCACGCTCGCTCGCTCTCTCTCTCTCTCTCTCTCTCTCTCTCTCTCTCTGTCTCTCTCTGTCTCTCTCTCTGTTCGTTGTATAAAAAGTTCCCTTTAATATCGCAGAGAGTTAGGGATGGTGTGTCGTATTTCTCGTGCATTCCTCCCGCAAATAAGAAAATACCGAACGTTAAAGCGTCCGGTGGCGTACCCGACTCTCCCTCTCTTCATCTCTATCTCCCTCTCCTCTCAGCCGGTGATATCGCGCAGCACGCGGAATGTCTTTACGAAGTTGCGCGACAGCTAGAACGTTCGTTATAACATTACGAAACACTAATCTGTTCCGAGCGCGAGCGGATTGCTGGCCTAATTTATGACGTCGGCGTAGTTATATATCTCGCGCTTTTGCCGCGCGCGCGCTTACAATGCGACGCGACAGCGTGCGCGCTTTTTGATATATCGCACGTGCGCTGTCGCGCGACGAAATCGCGCACGTAGCGGCGCTCGCCAACTGTAACATATCGCGCGGCGCGCACACATGTCTCGCAAATGCGTCGAAGTAATGCGCGAACGTAAGCTAATACAAGAGCTGAGTTGTCGTGATAGTTTTACACGCGGTTCCGTCTTCCGCGGTCTTGCTTCGATCCTTGTCAACCTCCCTCAGGGCGCTGTTCGGCATTGATCGACGAACATCTTCTTTGACACAGGCTTGTATAAATAACCGATAATTGAAACTTATCCTGCGCGAAATATTTTAAATCTGAAAATATTTCAAATCTGAGAAATATTTCAAGTCTGAGTTTAAAATTGGATGAGTTTTTTCATTTGAATTATATAATACATGTGACGTTATATTTGCATTCGTGACTCAGAAACTCAAATTTAACTTTAAATTAAAATTTGAGTGTCTTACAGGAAGTTTCACGTAAGCAACGACTATTAATATGGACCTAAAATAATCGCCAAGTCGGTAGTCAAATTTAATATACAGTGCTTTTCCTACTAAGTATGTAGCATTATATTTTATGGAAAACTTAATCGAAAAGTTCTGAATCATTTTGTCCAAACAAGTTCTTATTTATGATAATTTTTCAACATTTAATACAACATATCTTTATAGCTAAGCCCTAAATTAAAAATCTATTTAAATCAAAATTTAAATCAAAATCTATTTAAATCAAAATTCACTTGAAATTAACCGAAGAACATAGATTTGCTATTCATTTGATCGTCCGAAGCATAGTTTTCGAAAGGTCTTATTTTTTCGATTGCTTGTATTTCATAAATTATTGATATCTCGGAATTTTTGTTCCGCACTTTTGGAATAAAATCTTTACGAGGAATAACGCTATGTACTTAGACGGAAAAAAGATAACACTCTATATAAAATTACAAATAGTTTTATTGATCGATGAAATTAATGATTTACGAAACTTTGATGTAATTATACATTAGTTAATAATTAATTTCTTCAATCGATTAAATTATTCGTGATTATGTGTATTAATTAATTCTGATTATTGACTTGCCAATTATTTTAGTCGAATAAAGTTTTATATATTAAATAAGAGTTTAATTTAAATGTTAAATAAAATAAAATTTTATAGCAAAAGAAGTTCCAATCGATTAGTGCCCAATGCTGCCTCAGGGAGACTGGAATCGATTAATAGACAGATTTATTCAGCTCTGGAGATTAAACTCTTTCGAAACAGTAATTAAAATACAAGATTTAGTAGGGTTTACGAATAAAGCGCTATTAATAGATAAAAGCATTTAAGTAATTGAAAAAAACAAGAAAAAGAATAAGATTCGATAAAAAAGAAAAAATAAAAATAAAAAAGAATAAAAAATATGATTATATTATGTTTTAATAATTTAATATTTTATGTTATAATGTCTTTAATATGTTATGTTTTTAGTTTCTTTTTCGTATAAATTCTTTGCAATTTTGTTATTTTGTAAAATTTGTCCAGCTAAAAAAACATAGAAAATTTTATTAGAAATATAGTAAATTTTTTAACAGCACGTTTCTGTTTGCTAAAGTAATAGATAAACTTAAAAGTAACACATTAATAACATAGCGCAAGAAGTTGAGTCTTGGAAAAAGGTATGGTAATATAAAACAGACATGAAAATAAAAAAGTAACATACTTTTATTATTATGTAGTTGTGATGTTAGAACAACTTTTTCTTATTAAATTTCTTTGAATGTAAAAAAATTATTAGTTAAAAACGAAAATAAAATAATTTCCTTTGAAAATAAAGAAAATCAGGCTCAATAATTTAAATTATGTAGAAGTTCTTTAGATCTCCATGAAGAAAAGTAGCAAATAAAAACATTACTTTTACATTTACTGCATAAAACATGGAAATATAAAACGAAGTAATATAAGACACTCTGTTTATATTACCACCCATAGCTATTTTCCAAACGGCCCAATGAAACTTACCTTGTGAAGTTTTAACAAGAAGAAAGCAAAGCGGCTTCTCTTAATACTATAAACATCGTGGCGCTAACGCTAAACAGACCCCTGTTGGTAGCCGATAAGGGCTCTAATGGTTATGTTTATTTCAACTACAAATCGCAGCAATTGTTTACGAAATTAGCCTTGTTTCGTGTTACTATCCTGTTTCATATTCTCACCCTTCTTCTCTATGCTAAATCTATTCCTCTGCTATAGAAAATTTTCCACTAAAGAAAAATATTTAGTATTTCTTTTTGTAACTATAATTACACAGAGGAATAATTGCCGTATAATAATTAATAATTGCAATTATCATTATGGTAAAGAAAACCATATTTTCTTAATTAAAATCTACTATAATGTTAATAAAAAATCTCATATACGCGTTACTACTATCATTTCACTACAAAAAATATGGTTGGGTTAAAAATAAATAACTTTTAGATTAATCATTTTTTTCTCAGTGCATAATAATTTTTACTATAAAATCCTTTCCGTGTAGAGATAGAGATATAAAAGACAAGGATGAGAAGGAAATAAAAGATGAAAAACTAATCAAAGAGAGAAAAAATAGGAGAAGAAAGGAGAGGAGAGAGAGAGAGAGAGAGAAAAAGAGAGAGAGGGAAAATATGTTCAGACTATTGAAACGCGTGTAGAGTTTTTTGAATTTCACGAAAAATGACGACGCTTTTGACGGTGCACTAAACATTTATTACGATCTTTGCACAGCGCAGGCGTATAGTGCATTTTTGTCATCGGGGAATCACATGTGTACGCGCACCAGACGAAGACCACAGGGACAACGGAAGTCTCTCGATTTACCAGCGGCGTGTCAGCGTGCGGGAAGACAAACGGAATTAACGGCGCGGATCGTGCGGGTCTCTCTTTCTCTCTGCGGCGTGTCATCGACGTTTGCGCCCTGGACGCGGACGTGGTCTCGCTATTTTGAAGGTGGGTTTAGGGTAGCTCTTCGGTTTAGCGAGCCGCTTGATACGCCTGGAGCATTTCGCCTTTAATGCCATCGGCGACACGGTGAAGGCGTCCTCCCTGAGATCCGTCTCCTTGCCCACAGGACGCGACACCGGCTTCGCCAAAGCGATTATTCTCTGGGAAGCTGCGGCATTAAAGGTTACACCGCCTGAGTACACTCGCTTGCTCCCCCCATTATTGACGCCGCCGTCCACGAAACCGACTTTATTTTCTTTATCGGGACGAGCTTAGCCCCGCAAAATAAGATTAACTCGGCCGCGTGCGCGCGTTACGAAGCGAAACGGGGGCCGTTCGGTGCAACCCGTAATCCCGGCCGAATTTCATTTTGCACGAATACACGTGCACGCGCGATACTTATTTGATTAGTTAGTCGGCAGTTATGTTATGTAACTGGATAATGCGGCAATATGTGATTCAACTTTCTAAACTAGCGATACACTCGAGCGCGTTCCGCAAATGCATTTCAGATTAGCGTTCATAAATATCTAAACGGAATGACGATGGAGGGGCTTAAAGAATGTCACATGTACGTATATATTACATACGTAACATATACTGCCATACGTTGAAATGATCTCATTGTTGTGCGATCTGTAACAACTCCGCGGGCACGATCGGAATTCCAGATCGTGCGTTATACTTGAGGAATGTCGCTTAATTCCGTCCGACTCGAGGCAATCATGAAAATGCATCGCTCCCCAGATAGACAGCTGTACGTAAATTCGGCAGCAACTTTGCCAAGTCGATTTGTGAAGCTAACGTCTCTTATGAGTGGTTCAAATAGCACTCATATTTTTTATCTCATAGAATAACAAAATAGAAAAGCTAAAGAAGGAAATACTAAAGGAATGATGAGAATTTTCTCAAGACATTCCATGCAAAATGTAACACGAAGATCCAAGTGTAACTTTTGGTGAACTTGGCGCTGCGTCGATGTAACAAAACATTTTTATTATTGTAAATATGTGTAAATATATCATAATGTAAATCTGTTGATTGCTTCCAGCGTATTTTCTTTATAACTCAAAAAGGATCGTAGAGTTTTCATTATCTCACGTCGTGATCGTGAAGTCTGTTTGAGTGTTTGTTCCTTCAAGAATGCCTTACAAAAATCCGTCGAACGTTGGAGAGAGATCGTGAAGCACGATGGTTCACAGTCTTTCATTCGTTTATTCGTTTTACTCGATCGTTTCACGGTTGTGAACGGCACGAACTTATCGGCCAAGGCAATAAATTGCGAAACCCATTCGATTTATAAATGAGATAAGAAACGAGGTACAAACGAGGTACGAACAGACCTCTCCACAAAATTAGACCCCTGGGTGGAAATCGTGCTCGCGAGGCAGAATATTCCTAGTTGCGAGGCTCGTCGCGACAAATTATTTCGAATTTCGATGATTCGACACTGATTCGTAATGAGATAGCTGGGATTGCAATTTCGAATCGGCCAAAGAACAACGCTGTGCAAATTTGTCATTGCATCAATATAATGAAAAATCTACATTATCGTGCAAATTTTATGATTATTTCCAGCATACACAATATTTGAAGTAATCATGCACAGTGTGTATTTGCTTCATAAATGAAATTGAAAGCATAGTAGAGTTTGCGTCGTCTTGATTGCCTCGTGTCGTGATAATCACGAAAGTCCATCTGGCTCGATTTCGTTTCTTGCGCAGCGATATTCGTGAAATTAAATATCACTGTGACGTCTCACGCGGTCTCCGAGAGAGTTTCGTCGATATTAAATATCTTAATTCTTCCTCTTTCTCTCTTAAAGAAAGCGCGAGACTGAGGAGGGATAAGCGGAATATCTCGATTTATGTCTCTTATATCCTCCAACTGGAAGGATATATTGTAAAAGTTGAGCGCGCGAGAAAGAGAGAAAGAGAGAGAGAGAGAGACAGAGAGAGAGAGAGAGAGAGAGAGAGAGAGAGAAAGAGAGAGAGAGCGAACGTTTCGGCTCTACACGTATCTCGCATCTTATTAGACAGATTTCAATGGGAGAATGTGCGCGTTGTGAACGCGCGCGACGCGTCGGTCGTCGCGCGCGATTATACGCGAAAATTAAAGGCGGTCGGTTCGCTTCTCGCTCTCATTCTCCCTTTCTCGTCTTATGTACGCGCGCACACGCCTCGCTATTATCGCGAGAGGCTCGATGGACTTGTACGTTTTGTATCAGCCAACGTCTCGCGCGCGCGCGAAATTAAATTCCACGTCAGCGACGACGTCGGTTACGTCCGACGATAGCGGAGGGAAACTTGAGGCACCCCCTTAGAAATATGCTACAGGGAAAGTTGGATACACCGTACCGGGCGATGAGGCAAGGGACGTGAGCGCGCGAAGCTCAAGTTGAGTTAACCTGAGAGAGACAGATTGAGAAGCAGGGGGGGAGAGAGAGAGAGAGAGAGAGGAAAGAGAGGGAGAGGGAAGAGAGAGAGAGAGAGAGAGAGAGAGAGAGGGAAATAAGAGAAGGGCTCGGGAGGAGAGACGAGACGAGAGCCGCCGCCGCCCGGGACACACCTGGTTTCGATCCGATCGAGACGATTCTTCAGAAGCGCTTGTTTACGTCCGTGTCGCGCGTTCGTGACGGCGGGTCAAAGGGAAATTAATCTACTGTCGCGCGGCCGCCGCGGCCGCGCGCTCGTCGATCGATAGTGGAAGAAGACGACGTTTAATCAGACGCGCTCAACTAACGCGCGGCGGGACACGGTTGTACGGCAGAGACGCGGCCGGGAACTAAAAGAGCCGCCGAAGCACACGCGCGCGGAGGGTAGAGAGATAGATGGATGAAATTTATTTCATAACCTGGCACTCTCTCGCGAGTCTTCCTCTTCGGCCGGAGTGCCGGCAAAGTAGCGAAGAGGTAATCGGAAAAAATGAGAGGCACCACACACGGTGGAAGTATTGTAGTAAAAGTTACGATAGAATTTCCGCAATGTGTCGGACTCTATAAAACTTGTTGGAAAATGTTATACACACATCTGGCTTTCCCAACGCCAAATTTATTTCGATTTGCGAATCTTTTATATCGTATGCCGGACAGGACCTGCCAAATTTACTATTTTTATAGCAATTTATGCACCAATTTCAGTACAGTCCATACACACATACAGAAACATACGTACTGCATTCGTGTGAATGTTATTTTTGTCTCGAGTATTTTATAAATTCGCATATCAGCGGATCTATCACAAGTTCTACTTATTATAAGCATCAAATTTATTCAAAATACATTCTGAATTCCAGTAAGTTTAGCATTTTATTCAAGAATATTAAATTAAAAAGAAATTAAATTAAATTATTAAATTAATAAAAAATTTGTTTACTATATAGAATCGAATTGACTTATTTTTGGGTAAAGTTTTGTAATATTCTTAAAGGAAAGAAAATGAATTCTTTTTTTGAGTATATGATAATCTTTTTCTATATAACTTTTTCTGAAATTTCTGGCAAATATATTTTAAGATTATTATTAAGGAAATTTTTATGTATACGATTACTATCTGCTATATTTAATAAGAAAATATTTATAAGACTATTATAAGAAATAAAAAATATATATATCCCTTGTTGAAGATAACTATTACTTAAAAAGAGGGGGAGAATAAGCTGAGTAATCACGTTTCTTAGCATTAGAGATATTCTTGTGTGTGCAATAGAGAGATATTCTTCTGTCTGCATACGTTGCAAAAAGAAATATAATTTTAATCTAATGTTTACTGCAATATTTTTTCCATACAGGAAAGAATTGTGACATGGAGGCGACAATAATAAAATCAACAATAAGACAATAATAAAAAAAAATCAATAATATATAAATAATAGGTACACGGAAAGAATGTCGTAGTAAAAATAACAATGCAACTTTAGTAACCCGGGAATAGACTGGCACTATTACGAAAATTATAATAAAATATAGTAAAAATGACATAGTATAAATGTAGTAAGAGTTATCATGTTTATGATCACTTTTCTTATAATTTTATTATATTATATTTATTACATAATTATATTAATTATTTAATATATAATTTTATTATAATTATGTTAATTATTTATTATAATTATATTTATTAATATTATTTATTATAATTTTATTATAATTATATTATTTTATTATAATTATATTTATTAATATTATTTATTATAATTTTATTATAATTATATTATTTTATTATAATTATATTTATTAATATTATTTATTATAATTTTATTATAATTATATTTATTAATATAAATTAATTATTTTTTATAATTTTATTATAATTATATTAGTTATTTTTTTATAACTTTATTATACTTTTATTATAATTTTCCTAATAGTGTCTATTACCGGACTATTAAAATTGCATTTTAATTTTTACTATAATATACTCTCCGTAGTAATAATAATGGTTCCTCTCACCAAAATTAATGAATAATAAGCACACACACGCATACACACACACACACGCATATGTATATATGCATATATATGCATATATATGTGTATATGCATCGTTGGCTCGTTTGCAAGCGACGTATTCATTAAATAATTACAATACCGACAAGTGTCGCTAACACAGCACCGCTGCAGGCAAAGCTGTCTGCCACGAACGACGCAGCAAGCACAGCGGCATTGCAGGTGGATCGGCAGCAAAACACGTTTCGTGTGCCGCGGGCTTAATGTGTAGATCGTGTCCCGTTTATCTCCACCTATGTCTATATCAAATACTACAAAATCGCTACCCTTCCCCGGTTCGTTATGGTTCCCGGACGTTATGGTTCAATGGAAAGATAACGCGAGTTCTGCATTATATCACGAACCCGGCGATACCTGCGAAACTAATGACGAAGTAAGCGACGGATCGATCGCCGCGCCGGGGCGAATAACAACGCGCGACGAAATCGGTCGCTCTCATGAATTTTTGCCGGGATTCCGTCCAGTCGAATCTCGCAGCGAACAAAGGAAATGGCAATGAGAGAAATTGCACAACCGCCCCCGCTGTGTCGTTGAAACAACAATTCGCTCTGTGCTTGCTTCCCGCTGAGTATTTCTCTCCATTATTCGGTTAAAAGATGTACGCGTTACACTTGTAAAAAATTCACGCATCAATTCCGCGCTGAACACGATACAAAACGCTCTCTTCCCGAAACCTCGACGTTTCTGCATAAGCTATTGAATAGTCGCGGCGGAGAGCAAATTCGTCATCTTCCCTCCCGCTCTTTCTGCGTGTCGAGCGGAAGCGACGAAGTCGCGGATTCGTCATGGCCTAAAACCATCGCGCGGCGATAACGCCGATCTTCAAGTAGAAATAATAAAGGATTAACAAACTCGAATTAAAAGTTATTCTAACGATAAGAGCCCCGTCTCATTGTCGCGGATCCGTGCGACGTGAAAAACAGAAAAGCTCCCATCGCACTGTCGAGTTGGCAGTAATTACAGGCGGAAAATGGAAAACCTGAAATAGTTCCTCGACAAATCTCCACGAATCTCTCGTGTCGCCTCGACGGAAAATTATTTTCTCTCCTCGAGAGATCGAATCGGCCTCGAGATATATTTGCAGTTTGAAGTCGAGAGAACTTCCCCTCGACGAACAGTGGCGGTCGGCCGGTCGGCCGCCAAGATCGGTTCGCGCGCCGTGGAAAGAAAGAAAGAGAGAAAGAGAGAGAGAGAGAGAGAGAGAGAGAGAGAGAGAGAAAAGAAACTTAACGAGATCGTCATCCAGTCCAGGTAGCGAGGATAAATATCCGCCGAGTATGGGTCCAGTTACGGCGATTCGATAGCGTCTAACAGTATTGGCGCAGGAAACCGTAAACGACAACTGAGACGTTGCGTTCGGATCGATGGCGGCGGCGGCGGGGGCGATACATCGGGCGCGAGATCCGCAAGAGATTGGCCAGAGCTGCATTCCAAAATCCTACTCGGTGGATAGAGTAACATTCGATTAACCAAACGTAATAAAGAAATCCAGGTTCTCTTTGTTCCGATTGCTCAATTAAATGCTACTCCAGTCGTCCGGTAAGGTCTTGGAATTCAGCCCAGAGGAGCAACGATCGCGTGCTGAAGACTTGCGCGTAAGAGTCATCGTGCATAAAATGCATATACATAGCACAGATGCATATGCATAGCATAAGACCGTCTCGACCAATGAGCACCTAACGTAAAGCAGCCATATTGATTTGCAGCATGTTCATTGCTCGAGATGATCTTATGCTATACATATGCATCTGTGCTATGCATATGCATTTTGTGTGCGATAGCCCTAAGATAAAAGCACCAATGACAACTAGACACGTAATTCTTGCATTTTTACTGTTTTGTGTTCTCGGAATACTTCAGACAATGCAACTGCATCCACTGTGTCTGTACCTCATATTTAAATATTGCCCATATTACAAAAGTAATAGATCTTTAAGAAAGTTGCAGACTAATGCATCTAAAAGTGATCGATTTGACATTGATTTAGAGACTGGGTCAAAGGTTCTATCGCTTTGAAGTGTAAGGTTAGCAAACACGATAAAACGTCAAATAACGTTTTAATGACACATTAACGACCTCGATAATGTCAATAATAGTGCCATCGATACGGTATTTGACGTCATCCTGCTGCTCGATAGTGTTTTAAACCGTGCTGCTGTGGAAATATATGATTGCAAGCTTTTGCAAGAAAAAAATAATTTCGAAGCTAATAACAAAAATCTGAATTTTTCTGTACATGTACTTGTGAAGTATTCAAAATGGTATACGCAAAGTTTCATTGTGACTCCACAAGATGGAAGAGTTGAAGAAAGTGAGAAATAATATAAAATAAAGTAAATAAATTATAATTATATGATGTGTGTGTGTTGAAGTAAAAAAATATTAAAACTGTATTGCATATAGTATGTATCATTCATTTTTACACGGAAAATAGAAATATTAGTGTATTTCTAATCTCCAGTTACTTTTTGCAGGAACTATATGGGCAATACAATCCTTAGACACATATATTCAACATAGAGCATATGTGTATATTCAATATATTTATGTACATGTATTTGTACTTATATGTGTATGTATATACGTATGAACGTATTTATATACAAGGCCCGCCAACGAAACTTTTCACCCCGATTATTCGGTAACCAATTAATTTTGATCAAAAATGCTAATATTGTTTTCAAGGTTTTCGTATGATTGTGATAAATTTAGCTATATCACTTCATCCTCTTAAATGAGGCAGCTGACCCCCTTAAAAAAATCTTAAATAATAATAAGGGTTAAATAATTGAGGTGGAATGTTTTCGGACCCTGCACATAAAAATGTGTGTGTGTATATCTATGTATGTATATATACAAAAAAAAAATATATATATATATATATATATATATATATATATATATATATATATATATGTATGTATGTATGTACATAAAAATTGAAAATTTTGTCGTTATTTTTTAATGGTGACAAAATCTATATATGTATATACAGGGTGTCCCGCCACTACCGCATTATCTCTTAAAGACGGATTCCTGAGCTAATTTGAAGAAAAAACCCGTAATGCAAAAATGTCGAGGTTATAATACTTTTCAAATTATGAACGATTAAAGTTGACCAATTATATTGGCTAAAGTACACGCGCTCAGGTACGGTACAATATATAATGGTATAGGTATATGCACATAAGTGAGAATTTGAATAAGATATGAAATTAGTTGTAAATCCCTGAAAGATACGTGACAAATGTGTGACAGCTTACTGATTCTCATAAATATATTGTGTGATATTTTATTCATAACATTTTGATGAGATTGTTATTATTTACGATATGTTTATTTAAATGATAGAAAAGGCAGATTATTATTACATATATTGTTGTATGTATAAAACTTCTGTATCAATATCTGGAAAAAGGACGACAGGTGCATGCACCTGTACCACTGTGTGTTGTACCGTGAGCGCGCGTACTTTAGCCAGTATAATTGGTTAACTTTAATCGTTTATAATTTGAAAAATATTATAGCCTCGCCATTTTTGTATTAGGATTTTCTTATTCAAATTAC